TCGTTCGGCTGCCTCATTAATTTCCACGCTACCTTTCCAAGCGGACTTTGCCTGGCCCTCTCTGCAGACAGCTCAATGTTCTTATTGCAGTGACATTTCCAATTTCCATCCAAAGTATCTACCCATAATAACCGGGCAATCGAAAGCATCCTAAGTGGAATATTATTGGAGTTTCCTGGATCCCTCCTTGACTCAGACCTCTCCTCATCTGTGTTGTACTTACTTTGGCAAGGGAGGGGGGCTTAAATTAGCTTTGGGAAACATGAAACATATCAAATAGTTGTCGCTTGCATTTTCTGCATAATGCATTGCCAAAGGCACACTGTAATATGTAACAACGTTCTCTCCCCTTTGAAACTTTAGCAGCTCCAAAATGCTATAGCCAGAGCGCTGACAATGGCTGGTTTTGGATAGTGTTGTTGTTGTGTGTCTTCAAGCTATTTCAGAATGGTGGGGACCCTAAGGTGAACCTATCGTAGGGTTTTCTTGGAGAGATTTCATAGAATCAAAGAGTTGGAAGAGACCCCAAGGGCCATCCAGTCCAACCCCATTTTGCCATGCTGGAACTCAGAATCAAAGCATCCCCGACAGATGGCCATCCAGCCTCTGTTTAAAGACTTCCAAAGAAGGAGACCATCATACCCTCCAAGACAGTGTCTTCCACTGTCCAATAACTCTTACTGTCAGGAAGTTCCTATAGCTTGCATCCATTGATCTGTGTGCTATTCTCTGGAGCAGCAGAAAACAAGCTTGCTCCCTCCTCAACATGACACCCCTTCACATATGTAAACAGGGCTATCATGTCACCTCTTAACCTTTTCTTTCCAGGCTAAACATACCCAGCTCCCTAAGCCACTTTTCATAAGGCTTGGTGGTGTTCAGACCGTTCACCATTTTGGTCACCCTCCTCTGGACACGCTCCAGCTTCTCAACATCCTTTCTGAATTGTGGTGCCCTGATTTGTTCAGAGGGGGTTTGCCTTTCCATCTCTCTCTGAGGCTGAGAGAGTGCAGCTTGCCCAAGGTCACCCAGTGGGTTTCCATGACTGAGCAGGGATTCAGAACTTGGTCTCCAGAGTCATAGTCCAACACTCATATTGATTCATTCCCAGAAGATCCAGAGCTCTTCATTGCAAAGCCAGGTGGCTGTTTACAAGACATCCCACCGTGTGCCGCATGGCACTGCCATTGTTGGCATGCATCACTCTCTCTGAATTCTTAAGAAAGTGCCCAGGCATAAGATTGATGCTGGGCACTTCATCTTGGTCTTTGGAGGCAATGCCAGGTGGTACAGCAGGACACAGGCAAAGAGCATGCCCAGGTAACAGGGGGAACGCCAGGGCAGCTCCAGGACCAAAATATCCCAGGCTACTCCAGGAATATTCTTTGCCATGCGGACCCAGCCCTGGTCATCCCTCCATTTATCCCTTCATTCAGTCTGTGCCTGGTTTCCCACAAGAGACACACACTTGGAAAGAGAGCAACTCAGAGCAGCCTACAGAGAAGAAGGAGGCAGGACATCCATCATCAGCATAACTAAAGAAACAAAATCACACACTTCTTCCTTGGAGAGTAGTGGAATCTCCTTCCTTGGAGGTCTTTAGGCAGAGGCTGGATGGCCATCTGTTGGGGGTGCTTTAATTGGGAGTTCCTGCATGGCAGAAGGGGGTTGGACTGGATGGCCCTTGGGGTCTCTTCCAACTCTATGATTCTATGATTCTGTGAAAATCAATATGAGCAGATAAATATAATCAGATAAATGGTACCCAACAATGCAAAAAACTTAATTAATTAATTAAAAAACACATTATAATACCTAAAATGTTTATCCACAATATACAGCCCAAAGAACAAGCTTTCTCTCCCCATGAAATCTCCCCCTTGCTGCCCTGTCAGCTCTGAAACCACAACCCAGAACAGTTGTATTACACAGATCATGTGCAAATGCCTTGAAAAGGAGATACTTTTGTTTTCTTTTGCTGTTCCTATGTATCTTCAAGGCAACTCTCACTTATGGTGACACTTGTTGTTATTGTTGTTGTTGTTGTTGTTGTTGTTGTTGTGTGCTTTCAAATCATTTCTGACTTATAGTGACCCTATCGTGGGGTTTTCCTGGCAAGATTTGTTCACAGAGGGTTTGCCAGTGCCATCCTCAGAGGCTGAGAGAGTGTGACTTGCCCAGTGGGTTTCCATGGCTGAGCTGGGAATCGAACCCTGGTCTCCAGAGTCCTAGTCCAAGGCTCAAACCACTGCACCAGACTGGCTCTCAATGGCAATCCTATGATAGGGTTTTTTGGGTGGGCAAGATTTACTCAGAGGGTTAAATCCCTAGCATAGGCTGCATCCATATTGCAAAAATAATCCAGGTTAACACTGCTTTAATTGCCACAGCTCAACGCTATGGAATTCTGGGAATTGTAGCTTGGTGACACATTTTATGGCCTCTGATATTTAGCTCTGGTGCCACAACAAACTACAGATCCTGGGATTCCATATCATGGAGCCATGGTAAGTAAAGTGGTTTTAGTTTTCCATTGCAGATGGAGCCAGAGAGGAGGAAATCTTGGTCTTCCTCTTAGAATGCTGGAATAATCGAGTTGGAAGGGTCCCAAGGGCCATCCAATCCAACCTCATCTTCCCATTGAGAAAGACACAATTACAACACTCCTGAAATGTGGCCATCCAGCTTCTATATAAAGACATTTGTCATTTGCAGATGACACCAATTTAGGAGG